GACATTTTAACAGGGGTGTGTAGACTTTTTATATCCACTGTTCCTTGGCCTTTTTTTAATATTGGCATAACATTTGTATTTGCCAATCTGCTGGTGCCATTCCAGTCCATAAGCTGACCTTAAAATTAAATGCATTCTCCCGGTCAACTTCCCTTGATCATTTTTTCTTGGAGCCAATATACTCTGACCTTGCCTTTTTACTATTAATATATTTGAAAAAAAAAAGGGGGACTTTTTTTTTTTTTTTAACTCTCCTCAGCAATGTGTCTTTCGTAATCGATTTTATCTGCCCTGATTGCACTCTTGCATTTCTTATTACACTCTTTATAGTTTTGGACTGCCGATATGATGATGATTCTTCTGTGTTACATTTATTAAAGACCGTTTTTTTTTACTGTTAATATGCCTTTTTACATTAGTATTTGGCCAGTTAACTTTTTGTTCTTTTATATTTGTTGCCCACTTGAATGCACTGGTGAACGCCATTGTTTAATATGTCCTTAAAGCATACTCACTTGCTTTGCATGTTCTCTGTGTACTTTATGAAGGGGGTGTGTCCCTTTCCTCCAGTCAGGGCTCAGAGCTGACCTCACTGAGTTCTGCAGTTCTGTAGAGGACTGATGGCAACATATAAACAGGTACAACTTATGTAGGAAGATTTGTTTAGTTATTGTGTATCATCTGATGTTAGTCACTGCACTGAGTATATGTGAGGGTGTTCAACCACTTTAAAGCTTAATGGATTACTTTCAGACTCGTATTGTACAGTATATTGTGTAGATCCAAAATAGATTGAATGGTATTTAGAATTTACTGTTATAGAAAAGGTTCTTAAGTGAATAAATAATAGTAATATTATACACACATGTGCCTGCTGAAAGGTTAATTCCATCCTCCTTTTGCAAAAAAAGAATACAAACCACAGTTCCAGAAATGTTGGGATGCTGTGTAAAATCTACATGCAAACAATGCAATGATTTGCAAATCTCACAAACCTATATTTTATTCAAAATAGAAACCCGAAACCTTATCAAATGTTTAACCTGAGAAAATGTACTATTTTAAGAAAAAAAAAAAGGGTAATTTTGAATTTCATGGCAACAATGCGTACCAAAAAAGTTAGTAAAGGTAACAAAAAGCTGGCAGTGGTACTAACAAGAAAGAGCTGGAAGAACATTTTGCAACTAATTAGGTTCACTGGCAACAGGTCAGTAACATGAGTATAAAAAGAGCATCTTAGAGGGTCAGAGTGTCTCAGAAGTAAAAGTGGGCAGAGGTTCACCAATCTGTGAAAAGCCACATCTAAACATTGTTGGTCAATTTTAGAATAATGTTCCCCAACATAAAAATGCAAAGAGGTTAAATATATCATCATCTACAGTACATAATATCATAACATTCTCAGAATCTGGAGAAATCTTCTGGCCTTCAGACGGCACTGCATTAAAAACTGGCATGATTCTGTGATGGACCATACTGCATGGGCTCAGAAATACTTCCAAAAATCACTGTCTGTGAACACAGTTCACCGTGCCATCCAAAAATTAAAGTTTAACCACTTTCCAACCGCGCTATAGCCGAAAGATGGCTACAACGCAGTTGTCTGGTTCTGGGAGGGTGTCCATGGACGTCCTCCCGGAACACCCCCTGCGGCGTGCGGCGGTGATCACGGTGTCCTATGGACACAGCTGATCACGCGATACAGTAAAAGGCAAATCACAGCGGTCTTTTACCATGTGATCAGCTGTGTTTAATGACACAGCAGATCACCGGGTAAATACAGTTGCCGGTTATTGGCTGCATTTCCCTCACGCTGTCACATCATGAGGAAAGTACTGCCGAGAACCGGCAATTGTCAGCGAAGGGATCAACACTGATTATCAGGACACTGATGATCAGTGCCCATCATTGCTATCCACCTGTACCCATCAGTGCTATCCATCTGTGCCCATCAGTGCTACCCACCTGTGCCCAGTAGTGCTGCCAGTCAGTGCCGCCAGTGCCCCCCATCAGTGCCACCTATCAGTGCAGCATCATCAGTGCCAGCTCATCAGTGCCGCCTATCAATGCCACCTATCAGTTCCCATCAGTGCTCCCTATCCATGCCACCTCATCAGTGCCGCCTATCGGTGCCCATCAGTTCTGTCTATCTATACAGCCTCACCAACGCACATCAGTGAATGAGAAAAATTAACTGTTTGCATAATTTTATAATAGAAACAAAGAAACTTTTTTGCTCTTTTTTTTTTGTTTATAGCACAAAAAATAAAACACCCAGTGGTGATTAAGTACCACCAAAACAAAAGCTTATGTGAAAAAAAATTATAAAAATTTCATATGGGTACAGTGTTGCATGACCGCGCAATTGTCATTCAAAGTGCGACAGCACTGAAAGCTGAAAATTGGCCTGGGCAGGAATGGGATATAAGTGCCCTGTAGGCAAGTGGTTAAACTCTTATTATGCAAAGTATAAGTCATATCTGAAACACCGCCATCTTTGCTGAGTTAAAGCTCATCTAAAATGGTCTGTTGCAAAGTGGAAACTGTTTTGTAGTCAGCCAAATCAAACTATGTCATTCTTTCTTTTTGGCAACCATGGGTGCCATGTCCTCCAGACTAAAGAGGAGAGGGACCTTCTGGCTTGCTATCAGCTCTCGGTTCAAAAGTCTGCATCTGTGATGGTATGGGGGAGAATTAGTGAGTATGGAATGGGTAGTTTGTACATCTGGAAAGACACCATCAATGTTGAAAGATATATTCAGGTTTTAGAGCAGCATATGCTCCCATCCAAATGTGTTTATCAGGGAAGACCTTGCATATTTCAGCAGGACAATGCTAAATTGCATACTGCATCTATGACACAGCTTCGTAGTAGAAGAGTCCGGGTGCTTAACTGGCCTGTCTACAGTCCAGACCTTTCACCAATTCAAATATTTTGTGCTTCTTGAAATGAAAAATACGGCAAAGACCCTGAACTGTTGAGCAATTAGAATACTATATCAGGCAAGAATGGGACTGCATTTCTCTCCCAAAACTTCAGCAACTGGTCTCCTCAGTACATAGATGTTTACAGAGTTTTGGTAAAAGAAGACGGGATGCTACATTGTGGTAAACATGGCCCTGTCCCTTCTTTTTTTTTAGATATGTTGTGATATGAGTATGGTGATCACTGTACTTGTGTTCTATTAAGAACTACAAGTCTGTCTGCCATTGCGTAGTTCATTTATTCACAGATCTTGGTGAAGGAATGAGGCGGCTGTGTGGGTGGATATAAGCACATCTGCGCAAAATAAAAAAAAAAAAACAGCCACCATGGGAAAAGAGCACCCTGCCTGCTGTCAGAGGGAAGTGGGGGTTGGTCACTTACAACCATGTTACATATTACACCCTAAATGTGTTTGTAGCATGCTCTAAAAGATGGAGTTAGTCACCTTTGAAAATAATTTTTTGCAGGTAAAAAAATGTGCATTTACTATTTTTTTTTTTTTTTTTGTAGAAGCCTAGAAAGCAGCTAGATCAGCAGATTGCAGGTGGAATGCAGGGCTCCTGCAGACAATCAGTGTAAGCAGTCTGCTCATAGGCAGTTACACAATGACAGGAGGAATCCATGAATTACAAGCCCTGGTAGTTCATTGAGAACTACAAGCCGTCCGTCGCAAAGGCTGTCAGTAGTTCACGCATTCACAGAACTCTGTGAATGAATGACGCGGTTGTGTGGGGCAGCGGGCGTGGGGAGAAGATCCCTGTCCCGCTGTCACAAGGTGTAGGGGCGAGGAGCAACTGTAAGAGCTAGAACGGGTGGAAGAGGTAACTTGTTCGCAAAGGTGAACCAGTAATGGAAAATGTGTGCTGCTCAGGATACAAGGGAAAGCAATCCTATGTCCACCACTATGAGTGCAGGCAGGGAAGCAGCTCGTCTTAGCTCCAAGCAAGTGTTAAGCAAAGGATGGATCTCATGAAGCCGCTCATCTATGCAGACCCACTGGTAATTGAATGAATGGCAGTCTCAGCCTGGGCTCCCGCCAGGCCATGCTGCTAACGCATTTCACTCCACTCCTCAGAGCTTAATCAGGGGGAAGTTGCCAAAGGTGAATGTATCCTTTTAACCAATCCATGTAAATGCAGAATTGGACAAGAAGACATTCTTTTAATGGGCTTTAATTTTTGCATGCCTATTGCCTGTCCGTTTTATTGCAGTAAGAATGAATGTGTGATGCCTTCTGCTGGTGAAACCTGGTACTGTAGTATATGTATGAATATATATTTATTATTTTATTTATTATAGGTACTTCTATATCGCTGTCAATTTACACAGCGCTTTACATATATATTGTACATTCACATCAGTCCCTGCCCTCAAGGGACGTACAATTTAAGGGCCCTAACTCGCATTCATACATACTAGGGGGCCAATTTAGACATGAGCCAATTAACCTACCAGCATGTCTTTGGAGTGTGGGAGGAAACTGGAGTACCCAGAAGAAACCCACGCAGGCACAGGGAGAACATGCAAACTCCAGGCAGTTGTTGCCTTGTTTCAGATTCGAACCAATGATCCTAGTACTGCCAGGTGGAAGTGGTAACCATTTAGCCTCTGTGCTGCCCATTTATAAACAGAATGGGGCTTCATATACTTTTGTTTGAGTGGTCAGACCTCAATCTGCTGATCATAGTAAACAGCAAGAATAGGGCTGATGGGGGTCGGGACTTCCATATATAACTTCAGAGTATTGCTGTAGTATGTTGCGGTTTGCCTTTAAACTGTGACCTTTTTTTTTATAGTCCCCTTAAAAGCAGAAACCACTTACAGGGGACCAGAACTAGCATGTTCCTTGAGCAAGGCATCAAGGCCAATGAAACAATCATATAAGGTTTTAAAAGAGAGCATAATGAAAAATATGTTTCCAGTGATAAACAATGTAACAAGTGGTTATGCCTTTATATGCTGTTGTGATTATAGCCCTCCCATCTTCACACATCTTTGCCTTTCTCTTATACAGGTACAAGGTAACACAGTCTGAGCTATTTGCTCTTCTGTGTCGGCTTGCAGACGAGCTCCTGTTCCGCCAGATTGCATGGGTGAAGAAGCTGCCATTTTTTTGTGACCTTACTATTAAAGATTACACATGCCTCTTGAGTACAACGTGGCAAGAGTTAATACTTCTGTCTTCGCTGATCACTTACAACAAGCAGGTCTTCGGGGATCTAGCTGACGTCACCTCTAAATACTCACCTTCAGAAGCAGAGCTTCATAGGTTAGTTACCAAAGGATATCACTGGTAAAATGTGCCTGTATATGGTAACAAACAAAACGCTGTCTGGGCAGATATAAAACACTCATATTAATGCTGCTTTGTATTCATGTATTGCATCAAATTCATTTTTTGCTTTTAATGCAAAGAGTGAATTTGGCTTGGTATTAAGTCTTCGGTCACACCAATCCAACTTTGCAAACGTGACTTCCAGTGAAGTCACATGATTTCAAAGTCGGATGTCATATGCGACTTGCAGGACACAGATGTCTATGTAAGTCACACCTGAAGTTGCAAACGTAGTGCATGCCCTACTTTCAAAATCGTTTCGACTCGTTTCCAACTAAGTTGGAATTGCACCAATATGACCGCTTCAATTGCAGACAATAGGCTGCGACTTGCCATGGAATCTGAAACTATCAAGATGCATGACAAGTCGCACCGCTATGACCGGCACTTAGTGTAATGCCTGGTACACATGCAAACTTATTTTTTTTTTTTTCCGTTCGACCCGGAGGCCTGAATGAAAAAAAAAACAAAAAACAAACTGAGGAGCTTACAAGGAGATCTCTGTACTAACTATGCAATGTCCCCACTGTGATATTTTGTTCTGACGGGGGATCCCCCCCACCAGAACACACCAATCAGTGCTTGCAGCCATTGGCTGGGAGTGCTGATCTGATGCCAATTGGCTGCTGGTTTTCCAGTATGTTGGTTCAACAGAAGCTGGTCATGAGATCGGCTTCTGTCGGACAGGACAAGGCCGAATGTTGGCTGCTTGCTACTGTATGTCTGATTTCTGCCGGTAATTGGCCTATGGGGCTGTACTGAATGGCAGCAGAAAAATAAAATCAGGTCATCTGCCCTTTCAGACAGCACTGTGCTGCATGGCAGAGCAATTTCAGTCTCTTTACTGGATGGACTAAAATACAGCATTCAGCGGTTTTACTGGTTTATTACTTGTGAATTCTGTGAATGATCACAGAGGTCACATGATACAAGGCTATTCACAACAGCCTTGTACCATGTGACAAGCTGTGACCAATCACAGATCTCACAGTATTTCTCAATGGCTGCAGGAATGCAGCCAGAGAGAAAGAGAAATTATTGCTTTCACAGCCTTTATGGGTGTAAAAGCAATCAGTGTAAAAAAAAAAAAAAAAAGCTTCACCCCCCCACTATGGTGACACTGTACTGCTAGGGTGACAGTATGTAAAAAATAAATACATAAATAATAATATAAAAAAAGTAAAAAGAAAAATTGAAAAATTATAATTTTTTAATATAAACTGATTTGGTTTTGTTTTTTTTACCAGAAAGATAGCTGAATATATTTTGGCCAAGATTTATGAAGAAAGATTATTTGTTTGCAAAATTTTAACCATTTCCATACCGGGCACTTTTACCCCCTTCCCTCCCAGGCCATTTTTCAGGTTTCAGCGCTCTCACACTTTGACAATTGCACGGTCATACAACACTGTATCCAAACTAAAATTTTATAATTTTCTTCACACAACTAGAGCTTTCTTTTGGTGGTATTTAATCACCGCCAGGGTTTTTATTTTTTGCTAAATTAACAAAAAAAGACCGAAAATTTTGAAAAATAAAAACACGTTTTTCTTTGTTTCTGTTATAAAAGTTTGCAAATAAATAATTGTTCTTCATAAATTTAGGCCAAGCTGTATTCTGCTACATGTCTTTGGTGAAAATACCCCAAATTAGAATGTATTTTTTAGTTTGTAGGAAAGTTATGGAGTTCACAAACTATGGTATAGATCTGAATATTGATCAATCCTGAAGTACTGACAGCCAATCTAATTTCTTGAGGTCCAAGAATGTCAGAACAGTACAGATATCCCCCAAATGACCCCTTTTTGCAAAGTAGACAGTCCGACGTGCTTCATAAGAGACATGGCGAGTTTTTTGAAGTTGTATTTTTTTTTGTTATTTTTCAGAAAATGAAAGAATTTAAAAAAAAAATTTTCACTATTTTTTTTTTTTTTTACATACTGTCACCAGTGCAGTACAGCGTCATTATATAACTGGCATGGCGGTGATCAGAGACACTGACTGGTGACAGTATGAAAAAAAATATATATATATATTTTTATTTTTTATTACATTTTGTTTCTTTTTTTTAAGATTTTTTTTTTAATATTTCACTATGTCTATGGTAGTACAATGTTACCATAGAATGTTACCATCTTTGGGGAAGAGATCAGTATTTTTTTTTTTTTTTACACAATTTTCTTATAGCAAAGAATTACTTTGCTATAAGCAAGCATTTACCTGAATGACATCGATTTATTCAGGCTTTTGTTTTTTTTTTGTGCTTAGCTGTGATTTGGCCACAGCTAATCACATGACATGTGCATGTGATCGCTGTGACCATTCACAGCTAGGCAGTAGTATACAATGGATGGCATGAATGAAGCCATCCATTGTATACAACTGTCATGTGACCTGCTGTGATTGGTCACAGCAGGTCACATGGTACCAGCAACGGGGGTCGGTACTCACATCTGTCATCGGCCGTGTCCGAGGTACACGGCCGGTGACAGATCGCGGCTCTGCAAGTGCGAAAACTGCGCATGCCCGGGAGCACGCCATATGGCGTCCACCCGGAAATCTACAGCATTTTGCCGGCCGCCACTTTTTTTTCCCAAATTTTTGGTCTTTTTTATTTATATACCAAAAAAATTAAATCCCAGATCCCAATGGTAAATAAATACCACCAAAAGTTTTATCTGTCTCAGAAAAATGCAAAACATTTCATTTGGGTATACTGTTGCATGACCGCACAATTGTCATTCGAAGTGTGATAGTGCTGAAAGACGAAAATTGGCCTGGACTGGAAAGGGGTGAAAGTGTCTGGACTTGAATTGGTTAAAGCGGTAGTAAACCACAAAAAAAACCACCTCCAGAAAAATGGTCCCCTGTAGGATAATAGCATAATGTGCTAATATGCGTTGCTTGCCATCCATTGAGATTGCAGTGTGACGTCACCGGCTGCTACTATAGTAAATATCTCCTCAGTGGTGCATGTTCAGGAGATATTTACTGTACCTATAGGTAAGCCTTCGTTTAGGCTTACCTGGAGGTACAAGTAAACAGTGGGGACTTAGGGGAGGGGCTCTGGCGTCACGACGCCGCGGTGGACGAGTGGCATTCACAACCACAGGATCTGGGGCATGTACCAGCTGAACACTGATCTAGTGGACACTGCAAAATGTGAGTGGTGACTGTATTCTAATAATAAAAGATTGAACCTCACAAAGGATAAGGCACTATTGTAGCTCTCTTTTACATGGTTCATTGAGAGGAAGATACACCATCCATATCATTTCTACCTATCCATGAGGCTATTATGTGGAAGGAGGAATAAGGGAGACCTCTGGTGGCAGAAATAAGGCAATCAACAGCATGGATGGAAACACGTATTTAATGTGAAGATCCCTACCCTGTCCTGATAAGGACAAAAAGTGTTTTTTAGCCTTTTTTGGCTAATTAAGGAGGTGAGCGCACACCTATCTATAGAGCACGGGGAGTGTGGCACGAATCACCTTATTTTGTCACTGAAAAGATATAAGAGCATAAAGAGGACTATTTATGAGTTTTGGATTAATATTATTTTTGTAATAATATCACAAGGTGCACTGGTTTGAGGCACTTTTTATTTTCTCACGTGAATATTCATATGATCACTTATATATAAGTTTATATGTATACTTTGGAGCGCGACACATATATATATATTTGCAGATATATATTTTTCATTCTAGTGGGGACTTTACTACCACTTTAGTTGGTTTGTTTTTTTGTTTTTGTTTTTTTGGGGGGGGCGGGGGGTTGTGGGGTTTTTTTGGTAATTGGGGTGTTATTCATGAATGTTTTTAAACTTCTTTTAACTGACTGCAGCTATCGGTAGCAGAAATGAATCTCCTTACAGACTTACTCTGATTGTAACCCTCTGTTTGACTTTGGCATATGGCTGTATTGTTGAATGGAAGTCTGATTAAACTACAGCCTTTTATTACAAAAAATGTGCTATGCCTGAAGTTACAAAACATAACAGAATTCATAGGATAGCAGATACTCAAAAGCCAGTCACGCCATATTACCCTTGATGTTACCTCAACCATTGCCCTAAGGTTCAGCTATCACATTTCTGTAATATGACTTTACTACAGTGATCTTCGACCATTGTGGCATAAATTAACAGAAATGAGCAAGGGGTTTTTGTATTAGAAGTACCAGCCTGTCACTAAATCTACTCTTATCTGTTTTTCTGAGTATGTAATATGGAAACTGATTTATGATGTGTGTTTTTTCATAATCAGCCTCTTATCGGGCGCCAGATTACGCCGTGATTTAAGGTTGGTTTTGTGTTCACGCACAGCTGCACCAGCCTCTAGCCAGCTCCAGAAAGCCACTAACAAGCTTGCATGCCAAGTAGTTATCTGAAGCTCGTTATTTCAGACTCCTCTTCTACTCCTCCATCTCATAATTCCTTGGGGAACACCTCCATTGATTGGTGGCACCAAAATTCTTACTTTAGGAAAGGTTTGCTCTGCTGTGAATTCTCCCTTTTTTTCAAAAACGGTTATCTAAGTCTATGATTTGTTAATTCCGGTCATCTGTGTGCTCAGAGCAAGAATGAAAAAAAAAATTTTATTTACAGGAAATGCAGACGAAAGCACCAAGCTAAAGCTGCTTTCAAACAGATCCACCGAAAAAACACATAGGCGTTTTTGCTGCACTTTCTGAGTATTTTTAAAGGACACGTGACTTAAAAATCGTACCAAAAACGCTTCTCAGAGGCACTTTTTGGCAGATTTTCAGGTGTTTTCCATTGATTTCAATGGGAAGAGGCATTTTTGGGGCCATTTTTTTAATTCCCCAAACATGCCCCAAAGATCCTGCAAGCAGGAATTTTGTACACCTCAAACACAACGCCTAGTACATAGATGTACATTCACATACATAGGGAAGCATTTTTCTTG